AGACAGGGGCTTAGGTCCCAAATGTGATGCATGGTGAGCCCTAGTTACAATTTTCCAAAGAAGTTGGTGGGGTAACTCTACCTTTCCCTCAACCACCTACCACCCATCCTCCCATTTACCCTTCCCATCCAAGCGATCCCGTTGATAAAGGGGAGGCATTGTTTCAAGAGGGTCTACTGGAAGAAGGGGAAGGACACTATTGAAGGCAGGAGGACCACACATGGCAACTTATTTTGCCCAATAATCGGCAGACTTGTTTCCTTGGATAATTTCAGATTGGGTCAGGTTGATGTCCTGGACAATGGACAATGGACAGTTCTCAAGGTTTTCTTACCGCTTTGACCAGGTCTTCTAGTAGAGGTTTCATCTTTAAGGTTCTTCCATCCACTCCAGAGAAACCTTGAGCTTTCCAAAGGGCTGTGTGTGTATGTGCGGCCAGGAAGGCAATGTGGCTGTCAGTGTAAATATTGGCTCGTAGACCCTCAGCCATGCGACATGCTTGAACCAAGACCAATAATTCAGCTGCCTGGGCTGAGCAGTGCAAAGGCATTTGTTGCATGCACAGAGGGCCCTTCTCAGTGACAACAGTGAACCCTGTGAACCGTTTTCCATTCCTCATAAAAGAGGACCCATCAATCCAAAATTGCACTTCAGGATATGAAAGGGGTTCTGCTCTGAGATCAGGTCAGATCCCAATGACAACTTCTAATGTAGTTATGCAGTTATGGGGTTCACAGACTTCCTCTGTGGGCACAGGGAGAAGGGTTGCAGGGTTAAGGTGCTCACAGTGAAAAAGAGAAACATTATCCTGTTCCAGGATAAGACTGACATAACGAGAGACACTGTTGGATGTTTCCCAGGCTGGAAGTTTTTGCTCTAGCAAAGTCTGGACTGAATGGGGTGTGTGTATAGCTAGAGGTGCTCCTAATACAATCTTTTGGGCTTCCTGTATCAGGACAGCAGTAGCTACCACCACTCGCAAACAACTAGGCCATCCCTTTGCCACATTATCCAGGCCTTTTGATAAATATGCTACTGGAATTTTCTTGGGGCCCAATTTTTGGAGCAACACCCCAAGGGCACACCCTTTCTGTTCAGTGATGAAGAGTTCAAATCCTCGACTTTGGTCAGGTAAGGCGAGAGCTGATGCTCTCACAAGAGCATCCTTTAGGGCTTGCCATGACTTCTAGTGTTCCCTTGTCCATCCCCAGGCCATGTTTTTCTGAGTTAGTTGATAACGGGGTCTGGCTAATAGAGAGTACAAGGGGATCCAAAGTTTTGCAAAGCCTATGATGCCCAGAAAGGTTCTTAGTTGCTTCTCATTGGTGGGGACTTTGAGAGCGGCTATGGCCTGAAGGCGGGATGAATGAAGGTGCTTTTTTCCCTGTTTGAGGATGTATCCCAAGTATTGGATCCCTATATAAGTATTAAAAAATCAATACTGTGTGGCCCTCAGGGGGAAGAAAATGTTGCCAAAGTCATTCAGAACTGTAAAACTGACTCTAGCCCAAATGGTTTGGCAGACTCATTTAGCCATTGAACTGCTGTCCTGCAGCCTCTGCCTGGCCTATGCTTTCTTCCTTGCTAAGCTCAAAGACTATCTCACCACACCCCACTTGGCTTCTGGGCAAAAGGACTAGCTTTCTCAGGTGGTTCCTGGCCTTGTTGATGATGTAACAGTCTGGAATATTATTGCAAAAGGTAGCTCCCTTCCCAGAATCAAATGGGCCATTTAGGCCATCTATTCCAACTCCTGCACTCTGTCCAGAAATCCAAATGAAAGCACATAGATACAGTAGATGTTCCTTGTTTTAAGTGGAATAAACAAAGAAACATTTTTTTTGCAAATCTTTCCTTTACTACAAAGCTTGAAGACTTTTTAATTCTTAAACAATGGGGCTGTAAATATGGATTGTTCTTGCATTGGTGAAATGATCTTACCAGTTTTCACTACAACCGAAACTAGTTTGTTTGCTCATTTGGACAACTGTAATATATTTTCTGTAATGGAATCTAGACTGCTTGTGCTGGCTTTGGAAGAAAAATCCTCAATATGTAATCTGCTATTACAGTTGGCAAATAAGAGACAGGCAGGAGGAAGAATTTTGCATCCCAGCCAGCAGAGTAACGGGTACGAGGATAGCAAGACGTCAAAGCATGTTCTATGCAATTGGTGACCAAGCAGAAGTTCTTGCTGCTAGTCTTCACGATATAGCAGATATGTTTGTGATCTAAGAAATATGAAGCAAAAATCAGTCAGTGAATTATCTTTCTATAGTAGTTTCTATGCTATATTTTATATAAAAAATATGAGTATTCCAACTCTCTATTCTGGGAGAAAGGTATAGTGGGAGATAAGGTGTCAAGTACCCTTGTTGCGTGTGAACAATGAAGAGCAATATAAAAGGTTCTCTTCAGTTCTCAGCCCAAAGAGCTAATTGAAAATGTGATGCTTCAAAAGTGGAATGGCTTTGGGATTGGTAGGGACTCTCCACTCAAAGCCAGGGCCTGTCAGGAGGTGAACTGAGATAGTCACTTCAAGCAGAATGAATTAAGCCTTTTGAAAGTGTCATTGTTGACAAGCCATTCAGTGGTTATTTATTGCGTTATTTTATTTGTAATACCCCAAGATGGAGAAACATGGGGTTTTCTATCTGATGTGGGAAAATAACTTGACTAGTTAGCATCTTCACTCCAAATGAGAACATGAAGGGCAACTGTTGCTGGTTTACTTCAAGTAGCCAAATGTCTTTTGTTGGCTTTGGTTACCTTTATGATTCCTGCCCCTGCTGGTTCTCGATAACTCATACACAGACAAAAGTCTTTCTAGAGTTCCCCTTTTACTCACAAGCATCCAGGTATGGCTGTCCATAATATTCTTTGACGTGTGGAGGCATTCGGCTGAACACACCCTCTAAGTGCTGTTCTGCGTTATTGAGCATATTTGTGGCAAAGCCCCCAGGCTCAATGATGCTGACTCTGATTCCGAAAGGAGAAAGCTCTCGCCTGTATTGGAATAAAAGGATTACCTTTGCATAAAGAGAGCCAGAAGGGTGGAGGGATTAAGGTCTTGGACTAGGAACTGAGCTTTTACTCTACTCTAGATACAAACACTCCTTGGGTGACTGGGTTTGCTGGGTTTGCTTACTTCCTCTAGTCTAAGACAACCCAATTCACACGGTTATTGTGGTGGAAGAAATAGGAGGTTGAAGCAATATGTAGTCTGCTTTGAGCTGCATTGTGGGTATTTCAGAGTCTTTTTGTTTTTGTGCATGTAAAAATTTGCAGCAGTTATCACATAAAAAACAATGTTCCACAACTCTTTTCTAATTTTCTATCTAGTTCTGGTTTCAATTGAATATTGATGTTTAAAATTCGTTGTATCTTTGTGTTTTTAAAACCAAAATTTTCGGGGTTTTTTCCAAGTCCACCAGGCATGATAAAGTGACTCTTTGTTTTGTCCACATTTCCAACATAGATTTGAAGGACCTTTAGACATATTTTCTGGAGTCATATGCTAACATTAAATCATATAATAAAAGTATAAAAATTTCTATTAAATGATAACCTAATGTGAATTTCAGTCCTTCCCACTATTGCATCAATTATATGCAAAGTTCATAGCCCATTTTATCATACATTCTTTCAATCTGTTCTTCCTTTTCAGATTTCAAGAAAATTATCTACATTTTAGCCATTACATGTTCATTTGGTATAATGGTTAAAGTAACAGGCTAAAAATGGTGAGATTCTGAGTTCTAGTCCTCCGATAGGCATGAAAGCCAGTATCTGTCTTGTCCCAACTCGCTTCACATTATTGTTCTTGTGTGTTCAGTGTCCTATTATTTACCATAAATCTTCTTACCTGTGCATATACAACTGCCTGAACATTTTGAGAGTTTCAGGACTGCAACCTGCAGGCCAAATTTCTATCTCAAAGATGTGCCCACTAATTGTAGACCAGAAGGACTAAGTGCCCTGCTGCTTCATATGTAATGCTAAACAACATTTGCTGCTAAACAAGAAAAATAGCTCACGAATGAAGGCAAATATATGTGTCCCAGGATAATGTTACAGGATCCAATCTTGGTCAGTGACCGGAACCAGAGTGTTTGATTTCTGAGCTTTGGGATTCATGCTGGAGCCCATCCTCAGGGAACTTCTCTCTAGTAGAGTGTATGCTTTGGGGTGTTCTGTGTGTGGTATTTGTATGGTGCTTGTTGTATGTTATTTTTTATATATTGATTGGGATGTTGATGGCTCGCTATTAAATTGTTGGCTGTTGTTTGCTTGTACTGTCAAGTCCTCGACTCTTAAGTACTTGATAAGCTGGTGGTAAATCAGAGACTGAAAATAATGTACCTGGATTTAATAATATATCTAGATTTTAGTAAGGCAACCTATTTATTGCTAAGCTAGAAAAATGTAGGCTAGACAGCATCACCACCAGGTGGATTTGTAACTGGCTGACAAACTGTACTCAACAAGTAGTTCTTAATGGTACTAAATCTACATGCAGGGAAGTAAGCAGTGGAGTACCATAAGGTTCCATTTTAGTCTCAGTACTCTTTAATATCTTCATAAATGATTTAGAATAGAAGGAGAACTCATCAAATTTGCAGATGACACTAAGCTGCCAGGAGTACCCAAACACCCGAAGAAAAGCTCAGGATCCAAAAAGATCTTGATAGACTTAAACAATGGGCCCTATCCAACAAAATGAAAGTTAATGTGGAGAAAAGCAAGGTTTTACACTCAGGCAGGAAAAACCAAAGATACAAGTACAGATTAGGTGAAACCTGGCTCAAAAACAGTATGTCATGGTTCCAATAGATGGGACCAGTAAAAGCAGTACTCCAATGCAAGAGTTTTCCTTAAAGAACATGTTAATTGGCTATAAAGTATCAGCACAATCAAAAGTGAAACCAAGTCTGGAGTTCCCTCCCAAGCATTACAATGTTACAAAGTTGAACTTTCCACCCCAGGACTATGTAATTATCCATGTTCCCCAATAGAATACTTTGGTGGGCTTTCTAACGGAAGGCTCATCCTGCCAAAAGTCAGGCAGCTATGACCTTGGTTCCCACAGGATAAATTATTGTTTAGTCTAACCTTTAAACCACTCATCCCCCTCCCAGTACTGTGGCAACCAAAAACGAAGAAAAAATGGCTTCAGCCAAGATCATGGCAGTGTTGACAGTTGGATCCCCTAGAGAGAGAACAAATCCTGCAGATGAAGAAAAGTTAGAGTTAGGAATCTTCCCGAGGCTTATGAGGGTGTTTATCAAAAAATCTACATATTAGCCTATCTGCCTTGATGTCAGTACTTTTTACCCAAGTAGCTTCTGATAGTGGGTATCCCTTCCACTGTACTAAATACTGTAATTTTCCTTTGTACAACCTATAATCAAGAATTCATTTTATTTCATAATGGGTCTCTCCCTCTACCAACAGGAGACCAGGTGCTTTTTGGGGAACAGGTCTTAAGGAGGACTCCCTGACAGGTTTTAGTAAACTGCAGTGTAAAACAGGGTGGACTTTTCCCAAGAGTTTTAATTCTACCGTAACAGAGTTTATAATTCGAACTATGGGGAAGGAACTGAGGAATTTTGGTACTAATTTTTTACTTGGCAATTTGAGTCTTAAATACTTTGTAGAGTGATAGACTTTCTCCCCCACGTGAACTGGCTTCTGAGGAGCCCATTTCTTGTCTGCCTGCTCTTTGTAAATTTTTGAGGCTTTCACTAAAGCTTGTTTTGCATTGTCCCAAACAGTTTTCAAGGAGGTCATCCACTGATCTAGGATTTGAGAGATGGGAGGCTCCTGCGGGTACTCAGGCATAGGAATGAATTCTCGACCAGTAGCTATTTTAAAAGGAGTAAGTCCAGTGCTGCTATGCACGGTGTTATTATAAGCTACTTCAGCAAAAGGGAGGAGGTCAGCCTAGGTCTGTTGGTAATCAACATAGTATCTAATGTATTGTTCCACCATTGAGTTCGCTTTCTTAGCCGCTCCATTTGTATTCAGATGAAAAGCTGATAATAGTCCTTGTGTGGATCCAATCAGCTTAAGGAAGTCCCTCCAAAATTTTGCAGTAAATTGAACTCCACTATCCGAAATAATCTGTTTTGGTTCTCTGTGAAGACAGTATATATGCTTAAGGAACAGTTTGGCTAACTTCTTTGCAGAGGGGAGACCGGAACAGGCTATGAAGTGAGCCTTCTTTGAAAAAAGGTTGATGACAGTCCATATTACCATATTTCCCCTACTTTCTGGTAATTCCACAATAAAATCCATGGCAATCTCCTCCCAGGGTTGGGAGGGGTCTGCTACTTGCTGCAATAATCTAGGAGGCTTACCAGGGCATTTTTTTCATAGCTGCACAAGTTGCACAGCTCTTTACATAACTTTCAACATCCTTTTTGATACAAAAATCAGATAAAAGTTAAAAACAGGATCTGGAGGCATATAAGTCAAAACTTGTTGATAAATGTCTTAAAGGATTAGAGTTATAACTAGCAATGTATTAATTTGAATTTGGTATAATAACCAAGGGAAACAGAGAGGAAAATTTTGATGATGTAAACTGACATATGAATGGAAAAACTGTTATTGGACTATGTATTACCCAACCACCATGTTGCTTCCTTAATACCTGAAGCTTTGTAAAAATGGAAAAATAATAAAACTTGTTATAAAAAAAAAGAAAAGAAAAATCCAACTAGATCACACAGGAACTGGTTGCCCAAGTCACATCCCCCACACAGGAGGAAGCCGGGACTAAGGCTGGATCCACCCCCACTCTACCCTCTTTCAACAGCGACGACGAAGGAGAGAACGACCCGATGGTGAGTCGACATATCCCACCTTTTTCACTGCCTGCCAAATTAATAATCCCTAAGTCGGAAGCACAGGTAGATTTAAAAGTACTAGTTGATTCTGGATGCTCCCAATGCATCATTAGCTTGCTGTTTGCCATGAAATTGAGTATACGAGCAAAACTGCTCTCCAAGCCTGTGAGGTTTGAGCAAGCCGATGGCTCCGTGATGGGAGGGACTCTTGTCACGCAATTAACTGAGCCCCTACACCTAGAAATAGGTGAGCACTAGGAGTTTATTCGCTTCCTGGTGGCTCCAAAAATGACTGAGGCGGTGATCCTAGGGCTAGCCTGGTTGGATAAATGGTAGGAGAAAGGAATGAGAACTGTCAGACTACCAATAGGGCCTAACCCCCCCACTGATTCAACAGATGTTGCGGGACACTTTAGGCCACCTAATGAGCGAGCGCATATGGCTGCTTCACCGCCACCAGGCGAACCACTCATCCCCAGCGAATACCAAGACTTAGTGGAGGCATTTAATGAAAAAGAATGCGATGCCCTGCCCCCTCACAGACCCAATGACTGCTCTATCGAATTGGTGCCAGGAGCCAAACTCCCACGACCGAGAATGTACGTTTTGTCCCCCCTTGAAATGGAGGAGATGCAGCGATATGTGAACAAAAACCTAGCGAGGGGGTTTATTGAACGGGCCAAATCTACCGTGGGAGCCCCTGTGTTATTTAAAGAAAAAAAAAGATGGGTCTCTTCATCTTTGTTTGGATTACACCCTCCCCCTCCTGAAAGACTTACTAACCCATCTAGCTAAGGAGAGCATCTTCACTAAATTAGACCTGAGAGAGGCATACTACTGGGTGAGAATAAAGGAGGGAGACGAGTGGAAAACTGCCTTCAACTGTCCTATGGGGAGCTATCAGTTCAAAGTCATGCCATTTGGACTACAGGGGGCCCCAGCCATATTCATGCAGTTAATTAATGAGGTCCTACATGATCACTTATACAAAGGGGTTCTGGTGTACCTTAATGACATCCTGATATACAGCACAAATGCGGCTGATCATATAAAGCTAGTGAGAGAAGCATTAAAGAAAATAAAACAAGAGCTCCTCACCAACTGATGGTTCAAAGATAATCAAACCTCCCTAACATGCAGGGATGGGTTGGCTTACAAAGGGGAGAAACTATATTTGCCTGAAGCCCTCTGTCTTAATGCTTTCAAACACAGCCATGATGTAAAACAGGCTGGACACTTTGGATTTCTAAAAACTCTACATCTCATCCGCTGGCAATTTTGGTGGCCAGGGCTGAAATGGGATGTGGAAAACTATGTAAAGAGATGTGCTGTATGTGCCATCATGAAAAGAATCCCAGGGAAAACCCCTGGGTTACTGCAGCCAGTGGCAGACCCTTCTCAACCATGGGAAGAAATAGCTATGGACTTTATAGTAGACCTATCTGAAAGTAGGGGAAATACTGTCATCTGGACTATGATAGACCTGTTTTTGAAGCAGGCTCATTTCATTGCCTGCAAAGGACTCCCATCTGCCCAACGATTGCCTAAATTGTTTTTGGAACATATCTATCAACTGCATGGCGCCCCTAAGCGAATAATTTCAGACAGGAGGGTACAGTTCACAGTGAAGTTTTGGAGGGGTTTCCTTAAATTAATTGGATTATCTCAAGGCCTATCATCTGCTTTTCATCCATCTACCAATAGGGCTGCAGAATCCGCCAACTAGATGGTGGAAAAATATCTCAGATGTTATGTTTCATACCAACAAACAAACTGGACCGACCTCCTCCCTTTCGCAGAGGTGGAGTACAATAATTCTGTGCACAGCAGCACCGGCTACATGCCTTTCAGAGTAGCCACAGGAAAAGAGTTCAGTCCAATGCCTGAATACCCTCAGGTGCCATCCGCTTCCCAGACACTTGACCAATGGGTGAGGGGATGGGAAGAAGTTTGGAGAAACATGAAAACTGCTTTAAAAAAGACTTTTGAAACGTATAAAAAGCAGGCTGATAAAAAAGGGCTCCCCAAAGAACATTCCAAGTTGGGGAAAAGGTTTATCTGTTGACTAAATATTTACGCCTCAAATTACCCAGTAAGAAGTTAGCACCAAAATTCTTGGGGCCTTTTCCTATCGTAAGGATCATCAATCCGGTCACCATAGAACTAAAACTCCCTAGACTTTTAGGGAGAATTCACTCTGTCTTCCATTGCAGCTTGTTGAAACCTTGTCGGGGCTCCACTTTAAGACCTCCCCCTAAGAAAGCATCTGGGCCCCTCGTAGTTGCGGGACAGACCCACTATGAAGTGAAACGTATTCTTGACTCTAGAATTTTTAAAGGGAAATTGCAGTACCTAGTACAATGGAAGGGATACCCGTTGCCTGAAGCCACTTGGGTGAAATCCAGCGAGGTGAAAGCTGACAGACTCATCAAAAGGTTTTATGAGAAACACCCCAACAAACCAAAAAATAGTCCCTAACATATGCTTTTGTTTACATTACAGGATCTGTCCTTTTTGTAAGGGGGGCTGGATGTCAACACTGCTAACATCGGATGTTCTTGCTTTGACAATATACAAAGATGCAGACATTTTCTATTTAACCTATGTATTACTTGTAGAGTTAGAATTAGATGGTGCTGGAGGGGAGGGGGAAGAATGTGCATGGGGATAAGTAGCCATAACAATATCTCAGTAGAGTATTCTTCAAGATTGTTTGTAATAAGAGAAGATAAGAAATGGCGGGTTATGGAACAGGAGGAAAAGTTCGCACTTCAAACTAATTGGAGAATGTGATTAATAACTGTTAAATGGAGGAGTGAATTATACTTCGATACTATGTGTTTAGGGGAGGAGAATTCAGATTTTGGCTTTGCCTATGTACGTGCCAAAGCTATGTTGCTCAATTAAAGATTCTTTAAGGTAAACAATGCCTCAAAGTTCTTTGAAGAGTTTCATCTTTCAGAACCATGACACTAACCTTAAAACCACTGATCTTCCCCTTCCAGTACTGTGGCAACCAAAAACAAAGAAAAAATGGCTTCATCCAAGATCATTGCAGTGCTGATACAGTATCTGTGAGAGGGACCTTGGAGTCCTAGTGGATGATCACTTAAATATGAACCAGCAGTGTGTGGCAGCAGCCAAAAAAGCTAATACAATCTTTGGTTGTATAAACAGAAGCATAGAATCAAAATCACGTGAGGTATTAGTACCACTTTATAAAACATTAGTAAGACTACACATGGAATACTGCATCCAATTTTGGTCATTACATTACAAAAAAGATGATGAGAGTGGAAAAAGTGCAGAGAAAAGCAACTAACCTGATTAAAGGCCTGTAGACTAAAACATATGAAGAATGGTTGCAGGAACTGGGTATGGCTAGTTTGGAGAAAAGAAGAACTGGAGTGACATGATAATAGTATTTCAGTATTTGAAGGACTGCCACAAAGAAGAGGGGGTCAACTTATTTTCCAAAGCACCAGAGGGCAGGACAAGAAACAATGGATGGAAACTAATCAAGGAGAGAAGCAACCTGGAATTAAGGAGAAACTTCCTAACAGTGAGAATAATTCACCAGTGGAACAACTTGACTTCAGAAGTTGAGGGTGCTTCATCACTGGAGGTTTTTAAGAAGAGACTGGACAGCCACTTGTCTAAAATTGGTATAGGGCAGTGGTGGCAAACCTTTTAGAGATCGAGTGCCCAAACTGCAACCCAAAGCTCACATGTATTGCCGGGTGCCAGATGGGCATGGCCTGCTGGGTGGGCATGGCCTGCTGGGTGGGTGTGGCCCACTGGGTGGGCATGGCTACGGTGGTCATAGCAGACTGGATGAACGTGGCCAGGATGGGAGTGGCCAGCTCGATGTTGCTCCTGGGGAGGGATGCCTGTGGGGGCATATAAATACCACACAGAGAACAGAGAGAAGTTCCCTGAGGATGGGCTCCAGCACAAGTCCAAAAGCTTGGAAGACAAAACCTCTGGTCCTGGTGACCAACCCAGATTGGATTCTGAAAGAAGAAAAGCTATTAGGTTTACATTTTACCTCAGAGTGTCTGAGAAGGCTTCCACAGCAAACTTGGAGAGGCAATACCCACCTCCGGGGTATGCCAGTCTTCCCACCACACTAGACAAGTTGATCACTCTCCCTCTGGCTCTCCTCACCAGGGGTAGCATATGAAGCGTCACATCAATCAGCCCAAGTAAGTTGACTTCCAGCACCTTGGCAAAGTCTTCCTTCTTCAGCCACTCATTGGGAGCAACCGGATAATTAATGGCTGCGTTGTTTACTAACCCCCAAAGTCCTGTGAGGGGAAAAAAATGGGATTCAGGAAGATCTTCATGATTCTGTCTTGGAATAATCTTATCTGGAATCCCAGTTCCTTCAGTTCTGCTTTTTATGTCACTCATAACTCCCAAAGATAAAATTCCCAAACCCACTCATAGGGTTGTTGTTGAGGGGAAAATAGGAGGAGGAAGAAGTATAGGTAGTCCTTGACCTATGACGACAATTGAGCTGAAAACTTCTGTTGCTAAGTGAGACATTTGTTAAATGAGTTTTGCCCCATTTTACCACCTTTCTTGCTACAATTGTTAAGCAAATCACTGCAGTTATTAAATTAGTAACATGTGAATAAGATAAAATAAAATAAGATAACCTTTATTATCACTTTTTCTTTGTACATACTGGCACATATTAAAATGAAATTCTGATGCCCAAAAGAATGTACGTATGTATATACATACTGTACATACATACTTACATACATACATACAAGGAAGTGAACTTCCAATAATCTTTTCTGCCGTTCTCACCACTCTCTGCATAGCCTTCCTGTGCAAACCGAACAGTAATACAATATACAACAGTAATACAATCCAAGGACAGGAGAAAGAAAATGTTCTCTTCTCATATGGCACAGAAAGCAACCAAGCTATCCTACCCATTTTCTGCACACTAGAAACTTAATAGTGCTAACTACCCCCACAAAGGTGTCTGCCTTTTCTAAAAACAACAATGATCTCTTTGTTTTCCCTACATTTAGAACCAAGCTCTTCATATTACACCAGTCCACCAAACCCTCTACCTCCTCCCTGTAAGCACCTTCATTGTCATCATGAATAAGTCCAATTGACAATGGGATGATTGAACACGGCTGCCTAGCCATGCCCATTTCACCACAGACCCCTGCAACACTGACCCATTTAACTACGTTTCCCTTTAACTACTTGCCCAGGCAAGGACCAGTCAAATCTCTGTAGCATCTTCTCTTGTGAGCAAGGAATGGTGCAGCAGAAAGAGAAAACATTCCCCAATCAGCAGCAATATCCTGTATTGGTTTTCCCAGCTAGCCAGCCACATTCTGCACAGGTGCTCGCTGGCAGGAGGGAAATTCATCAGGCAAACCATGGCCCTATGCACTTTCAGCTTCTCCCGGTAGCTGATTGTCTGCCAGGACAGGTGGCTATTTGCTCTGTACAGCCAATTGGCTGGGAAGAAATTGTCCCTCTGTGAATCAATCGCCCAGGAGGAAGGGATGGGGGACTAGTGGCAAAGTTTAGTTCCCCACTAGTGGTGAGGGGAAAATGCCAGCAGAGGGTCAACCAATGATAAATACCCATGATGGGTTGCTGTGGTGGGGGCCCTGCAATGAAGCGGGCATGGCCAGGTAGCCACGCTCAATTGTTCTAGACCTCTACTATTGGTTTTCCTCTTGACTTGGCTTGTCAGAAGGTTACAAAAGGTGATCATCTGAACGTGGGACTGCAACTGTCATAAATATGAGTCCTGTGCCAAGAGTTTGAATTTTGATCTCGTTACCAAGAGTTGTAAGTGTGAAAAATGGTCATAAGTCACTTTTTTCAGTCCCATTGTAACATTGAACATTTATTAGATCAATTGTTGTAAAGTTGACAACTACGGTAGCTGTATTATTTGTGTTTGCTGCTTTGAGTTACTTATAAAATAATAAAAGTAAAAGTAAAGGTTTCCCCTGTCCAGTCATATTCAACTCTAGGGGGCGGTGTTCATCTGTTTCTTAGCTGAGGGAGCCAGCATTGTCCAAATCTACTTCCATGGTCATGTAGCCAGCATGACTATATGCCGAGGCACAGAGAACGCTGTTACCTTCCCATCAAAGTGGTAGCTAACTAAAAATAGACATAACTTTAGTAAACTTTCTGTTTCCATGGCATTCATTTTCGTCTGATAATTATATGTCCTGATTTTGGACAGGGAGAAAAGAAGAAGCATAGAGAACTTGCTTTGGAAATGTAGGACTTGATTTGGACTTAAAGCTACAGTGCAGTATACTGCAATATGTTACTGTAATACTGTATACCAGTGGTGGCGAACCTATGGCACGGGTGCCAGAGGCGGCACTCAGAGCCCTCTCTGTGGGCACACGTGCCGTCGCCCCAGTCCTAGGCCTTCAGCTGGGTTTTATAAAACCTTTTTGCTTTAGGCCTCCGCCGCCGTAAAAAAAAAGGTTCAATCAATCAGTCAATTTCAACTTCTAGCAGGAAAAAAAAGATCTTGCAAAGTTGGAATTGATTGAACTTTTTAGTCCCACACAGTCTGCCGTTATCGCTGCAGCCATGCCCACCTAATGGGCCACACCTACCCAACTGGCCACACCCAGCCAATGGGCCACACCCACCCGGCACTCGACGATGCATAAGTGGGTTTTGGGTTGCAGTTTAGGCACTCGGTCTCTAAAAGGTTCGCCATCACTGCTGTATACTGTATATTACAATTGGTTACAGGCACAAAACTTTATTAAAGACATAAATATAATATATTATAGAGCCAGTTAATTGGCCATCTGAATTGTTGGCTATGGCAATTTAATATGTTTTAATTAAAAATGAGTCAAATATATTTAAGGATTATATTAAAAACTAAGAGTCTGTGATAATTTGCTGACAGTATATTTATTTTATTCTGAAACCTACTCAGCACTGATAGTAAAGTATATGTAATCTGTAAAAGTTAACTAGTAATTAGTAATTTAGGACCTGTTCTCAACAGAGGCTTAAAAGAATTATGGAAGAAAAATAATATCCCCCCCAATATCAGCTTTAGATTTTTTTTTCTTCATTACGTATCCATTTCCACAAAGGTAAGATATATTTTAAGGATTACATTAAAAACAGAGAGCCTGTGATAATTTGCTGACAGTTTATTAGTTTTATTCTGAAACTTACTCAACACTGATAGTAATATATTTAGAACTGTTCTCATCAAAGGTTTCAATGAATTATGGGAAAAAGTTACATTACTTCCCCCCCCCCCAACATCAGCTTTTTTTTCCCATTACGTATCCATTTTCCCAAAGGTTCTGTATTTCTTTAGGCAGCAGATATCTTATATTTAGACTCTTTAAGAAGAAAAAGAGAAATCTGCATAAAATAGCCCCTCCCCTTTCGTTTCTGTAATGACTTCCCTATTCACTTCAGATCACTGCTTTAGAGTTGATAGTCATTGGCTCTGCTTTTCTCTTCCCTGTTCCTGAATAATGAATGAAAAGGTGTAAGAGAATCCACAGATCCTAATTAATAAGTTCAGTGCTGAACATTTGCCATCAATCAGTTCAGTGAGAAGGAATAGCCCTCTGGGTCAAAATCTGATTTCTCCTAAAGTGGGCACAATAATCCCTTCGCCTCATAGCTCTGTTTTTAATACAGCTGTTAGATCATGCACACTTTAAATTCCATGGAATGCTTCATTTGCAAATGTGTCAAATCAAACTGCTGTAAAGATTTAATGGAGCCCTTTATTTCTTTTTTAGTTGCACTTTTCGATTGCCAGTCCCATATCGTGGCCATTTAGCTTTAAAATGTCTGTTTTTTGTTTTCATGTCATTTGTTTAACAGAATAACAGAGTTAGAAGGGACCCTAAAGGTCTTCTAGTCCAGCCCCTGATCCAGTGGGAGACCCTATACCATTTCAGACAAACTGTTGTCAAATTGCTTCTTAGAAACCTCCAGTGATGGTGCAACCACAACTTCTGAAGGCAAGCCATTCTACTGATTAATTGTTCTAACTTTCAAGAAATTTCTCCTTATTGGTTAGTTTTCTCCTTGATCACTTTCCATCCATTGCTTCTTGTTCTGCCTTCAGGTGCTGCTCTGCATACAATGAGCCAGCATGATGCAATGGTTAGAATGCAATGTTGCATTCTACTGACTGCTAGGGGTACGATGGTTACTGGCTCAAGGTTGACTCAGCTTTCCATCTTTCCAAGGTCGATAAAATGAGGACCCAGATAGTTGGGGGCAATATGCTGACTCTGTAAACCGCTTAGAGAGGGCTATAAAGCACTGTGACGTGGCATATAAGTGCTGTGCTATTGCTATCTTGCAATAGCAAGATTTAATCTATATTTCATAAGATAAATTAAAAATAGGAGATATAAGTTTGATCCACTTTAGAACCTGCTGTTCCTGTTCTTTTCCTTTTATGGTTTGTTTCCTCTAATATCATGATCAAATCACATGTAATTTAATTAATATGTATTGGACCTTTTCATTTTAAATTATTGTATGGATCATACAATCTTTTAGTGTAAATCATTGCATGGGGGCACAAAAGAGATTCAACCTGTTCCCTAGCTCCTTTATTTCCATGATGCTAAGGGCATGTCCATTCTGTGTTGGCTCCTGGGCATTGACTTCCAAGATTATTTTAGCTTGGCAGCAAGAGAGATGGGATGCATGATTTCTGCATCTGCCTGGTAATGCATTTTCACAAATGGGTGCCCTTCAGATTTTCCACTGATTCTGCTGATATTTCATGCGGCTATACTTTTTTATTGTTCCTATTATTTTTATGCCCCCTGAGAAGATGAAGAGAGGACAAGTCTCATGCAGCTGCAATTTTATGACCATTTATGCAAGGCATTGTGGTGATTTAGATCCTCCTTGAGTATATGGTTTTGATGTACAAGGGTCTGTAAGGATGATTGTTATTACTATGGACATGCCAATACAACTGCCCAATTCTGGAAAGTTTCTTTAGCACAGTTGTCTATTGCCTTCCCTGGCAACTTCCAGTTCCTGTCACCACCTCTATTCCCCTTGCGGGATTAGTTGGAGACAGAACTTGCTCATTATCAGTCATCTATATTATCTATTTAAACTATATTATCCAGCATTCCCTTCAAGAATATTGCTGAGCTAATTCTGAATGTGAGTTTAACAAATTCTGTTTATGGATTCTGTATATCTTATCTAAAGTCCTAAACTCTTAAGTACCACATTCTATATCCTGTAAATATTTGAGAAGCATTAAAAAGAATTTGACTCCCTCAAGCCTTTTTTTTTTTTTGTCTCTGTGTGCTGAACCCACAGAAATGCAAGGACATTTCTTTCATAAGAGAGTTATTTCTATATCTCTTCTTATTGACCAAATGATGAGGAAAAAAACCCTCTATGCAGTGGTGGGATTCAGCCAGTTTGCACCAGTTTGGCAGAACCGGTAGCTAATTTTTTGTTGCCCGGGCCCAGAATGGACTTCCGGAAGCGGCATCCACACAGAGAACCGGTTGTTCACGTATTTGAATCCCACCACTGCCTCTATGTATAAAATCAACTTAAGAAACAAACTAAACAAGTACATAATTAACGAATCAAGAGTTTGGTTTAAATGTGCACTTGACTAATTAATGAAATTAATAATGCATAATGAGAAAATGTACTATGTCTCCTAGAGAGGTAAAACCTGATAGCTTGAAAGAAGCCCATTTTTTTTTTTTGCACTGCTTCCGCATAAAAATACCACATAGGATAATAAACAGAGTCCATCACCTTTTTTCCCCACGCAGGTTTTCACCCACTCAGTTGCTGCTGCAACATTCTCAGTACTGATGACATCCAGCAGAGTGGTTTTTAGCCGGTCCGATGTGACCTTTTCCAGCTGTTCTGCCGCTTCTGAAGTGAGACAAGAGGCCAACACCCGCAGACCCTGAGCATCCAGCTGCCTGGCCAGCTGGTTCCCAAAGCCAGAATCACAGCCTGTGATGAAGACATATTTTTCCGTCAGGTTCTCCACCATTTGTCTTTCCAGGTACCAACGGCAAAGGAGGAAAAGGACAGCCACCAGGACAGGCAGAAAGAGCCACATAGCTGAAACCTGCCTGGAAGAATGAGAGAGAATGGAGAAACTAGCTGTCCTTAAATCCAGGTACAGGTACCGATCCTGTTCCAGAGCTGAAGATCAGCTAAGATGATTAAGATCAGAACAACTGCATGTTGCAAGGCATCATGACGTTCAGAGTAGATACACCCATTATCCATTTTCTGATTTACCATTGTACAGAGGCAGGACCTGGTTTCCAGTGTGATTAGATTTAGAGGATACCTGCCCCCCTTCCCCTTTGAGCAACAGTCAAAAAACCACACAGCATATTTCCTCAGAGAGGTAATTCTGTTCTCCTTGGAAAATATTATGGGGTGTTTTGTGCAACAATCCACCTTAGAGTGAGTTACAATGGAACAGTCAGCAAGGGATGTTGGTGTTTCTTTCTTGTAGAACCATAATATTTGCACATCCCAAAGTGGCTTAGTCACTTTATATATATATTAAAAACTAAAATGCAAGTAAGAATTATTTACATATGCTGTTGCAAATAACAGAATAACCATCTAATATTCACTTTTGTAGTCATGGTAACCAATTGATTGATTCCATTAAATTAGTTCAGTGAGCTACCATATCAGTACAGCACAGATACAGGTCAAATAAAGTAACCTATCCTGTTCCAGAGTACAACATGACATAATATTTCATCAGCTCAGATTTATCTCAAGATTATTGGTTGCTTAGTCTTAGAACATTGCGATATCTTCATTGCCCAATTTTTTAGCCACTAGCAATCTTTCTTCTGTGAAGGATTCCAAATGAAATCAGCAATAAAAGAGCACCAAATCTAAATTAATATTTAAATGTGTGCTGTTCATATGTTTACATATTAGTGTGCTAAATGCTGATGATTTATAAACCTGTACAACATTATTTACAATTTACTCTTAAATCATTTCTTTCATCTGAAGGTCTTTGTCAATACAGTAAGTGGGTAATCTGAGGTACAGAACCGATGGGAAATTGTTCAACCTGCGCAGACTCCAGGCTGTCACCAAGGTAAAGGAGACTGTGCTACGAGATCTTCTCTTTGCTGATGACTGTGCCCTTAATGCAGGATCGGAGCAGGAAATGCAAGCCAGCATGGACAAATTTGCAGCCGCTTGTGACAACTTTGGCCTCTTCATCAACACGA